CCGGAATTATATTAGTATAGCATGCTCTATAACTCAAATATATTATCAAATATGACACTATATGATATTAAATCACGCTGATATTACAACAAGGCACAGTAAATACATATACAATAACACTCTTGCTATTTAGCTGTTATATACTGATAAATCCATCAACCAGATTGCCTGACTTAAGTACATCATTTGATTTATTAATAGTTATAACAGCTAAACAGATAAAACGGCATTCCACTCAGGAAATTCAGAGAATGACTCAGTTGATCGAAACCGAAAGACAAGAGCTATTGCAGCAGGTCAATAAATACGTTTATGAAATCCGAAGTTTAGAGAAAGAAAGAAATTTACTTATGGTATATAATATAAAACTGTAATTAAGCTTTAGCAAAATCATATCGCATTTGTTACCATCTAGCCTTAAAAATGTTGTATTGAGGCATGAGAGCTACCTAATAAATTATCTAATCAATGTATTACTGAAAAGAATTTTTATCTGATTTGATAGGTATTCGCATATACTTATTGCAATTTGTTACCTATACTAACTAACTATATTAAATTGCGTCAGGCTTCACTACGTCGAGAAGGAATCATACTATCACAACGAAAGCCTCTGCATCCAACTCAAAATGGGCGAAATAAAAATGAAAAAATCAATGCAGAAACAAAGTTAGTACCTGAAAATAGTGCTCCGAAGCCATTAAAAGATGATAATATAATTCAAGCACGACAAAAAGAAAAGAATCATGATGAAATTGAAAATATAGAAGACTTACCTGATGAAAATATTATTGATGGAAATCAATCGACTGCTTGGCCATCAGAGGAACGAATCTATTCCAATCTTGAAACTAAAGGTTAAAATTATGATCAATTCATATTCATAATTAAAAAGAATATTAATAGCTGCAGTAACTGTAGTAATGTTAGGTAAAATTTATATCATCTAATCAATTGTATCGTTTACCGATACAAATCTAACAGCAGATAATTTAATTTACTAGAAAATAATATTGACGCTCTTCAAGTTCTTGAACGATGGTCGGCAACGTTACTTAATGATTTAGATTAAGAATGTTATAAAATGGCAAATAACAATCCAATTATAACATGAAACGTAGAAGATTTTGAGTTAAAAGTAGTTCTACATATTATTACTTTCTGCTGCATTATGAAGAGACAACTTTATTTCATGAAATAGAGAATATTATTTTTCTTTGTTCTTATTAAACAAGTCTCTAGGACTAGTCTTCAGATAATTTACTACCAATACCTAACGGCCAATAATAAACAGTTGTTTTAAGGGGCAGCATTATCTATCAGATACTTATTTTAATTTATGACTGTCCTTTAAGTAAGCCTGAGCATTTATATTGTTAAGTATTCTTGGAATGTAAATATTTCGCTTTTACTTTTGTATATAACCATGTGCAGTATACGTTGTATAATCAAAACCTTACTTTTAAATTTACATTATGTAAGGTACTTACCTAAGCGTAAGTACGCAAATCATCATTTTATTTATGAGAAACGGCAGCGACTTTCTTTTCAGTAGTCTCTGGAAAAGGCTGTCAGGCTTATCTTAGTTAAAATGTAGTGAATACCCTCGATGCATACTGCTATAGCTGGTAATTTCTTTTTCGAAATCAATTTTCCTTCTTAAATTATATTATTATTGTAATTTAAACCTTCATAAATGTAACTACGAGTATATTAGCTCGCTTATTGAAGCTGATGTTTAGGAAAAGCTTCAATTACGGTAATGAACTACATGTTCACTACTAATGATTCGCACAACTACGTAAAATTAACTAAGCTGTTGTAGAGCATTGTATAAATCGTAATAGGAATCATCATTTGCCTGCTAACTATTAAAAGTGCTAACTAATTCATAATTTCTAAGGCGTCGTTAAGTTGGGTTGACTCGCAGATCGACAAATACTGATATTATGTAAAGCTATAAGGCCAACATTTTCAGCTAACTAGTATTACTGGACTTACAAATCAAATTTAATATGGTTACGGTACTCTATACGTTAGCATAGTAACGAAAATCACTATAAGGTGGGTATACGAGATATCGATTGCCTTTGCCTGTAGGCAGCATATTTAAAATCGGTACCTGCGCCATGATAAAATCTGACGATATTTTTTTGATAAAGAACAGCTGAGAAATTAAGATATTTTTCATCGATATTTTAATTCAGTGATCGCTGAGTGCCGTAACAAGGTTACCAAAAGTGAGCATTGTTAACGCAATTAAATCAGCGCTTTGAATACTCTTACAATATAGTGCAACATCATTAGAAATTGTCTACGATACAATGTAGTAAGATCATAAATTCATTATATATAGTGTATTAATGATAATTTTCACATATTTTGACTATTTAAAGGAAACCAAGAGTAACTGCAACAACCAAAAAAGACAACCAAAGCAAAACAATAAAAGTATTACTGTATCCTCAAAAAAGCAACAGTACATCTTAACCGTAATGAATAACAATAATAAAATCATTATTATTATTATTATTATGAAAGATGGCTTGGATGATCAGTAAAGTAATAAGCAAACCATAACGCACGATGAATGTTAGTTATCCAAATTACATTATGGTGCATTTACAATGTTATTGAACTAAATAAATTTAATAAGAAATAAGACTGTGGCTAATGAATTATTCTTACTCACTACAATTTTGTTAAAAATAAAAACACTAACGCATTATTATACTTTATAAAGTATTAGGTGAGTTATAAACGATACATTAATATTAGTTTAAACATAATTCATGCTGATAGCGACAATATATTTGATCGTTTATGTAGGTGGAAACATGTGAGTGTGTATATGCAGACATATATATATATATATATATACGGTACTTTTACATATATATATATATATATAGATAGATAGATAGATAGATAGATTCGAATCAGAGTGTTGTTTCAAATAATGAATGTGTTCTTAATGGGTATTTCTATAATATCAATTCGATAAGTAACATTCTGTTGCATAAATTAGCAACATGACGTCCAAGTAGTATTACGCTAGTAATCAGTTTTATACGAAAGATTAGTTATCAAGAATCTTAATAATATAATAACAATTGTAATAGTAATTACGACATTAATATTAATAGTAGCAATAATAATTATAATAATAATGATAACAAATCACGATTAATGCACTGTTAGCAATTTGGAATATTGCAATGACACCATTTTAAGATACGAAGTATTCTAAATAGCAATAATGGAAAAAGGTAAATTCGATCATGATCTTTATGCCATTGGCTTGGCTATCTGTCAATATCTTCAAAAACCAACTGAATTTGTAGTAAATAGCATCGCTGTAATTATGCTGATATAATGACATTTACGTACATATATAAATTAGCTTTATAAAGATGTAAGCTAACTATAATTATACATAGATACAGAAAGAGAATTAGATGTACAGATATTTCTAAATTTTAGCAACCAAGAAAAAGAAAACTATATGTATATATATATATATATATATATTATAATATATATACGTAGCAAAACGACATTTATCTATTGCATTGTTATCCATAACAAAATGGTACGAATAGCAATAACAATTGGCATTAATACTATTTCTCTATACCATAAGTAATATAATCTACATAAGAAACAAGATTATTCATTGCTCTTAAAACGTGATGGAAGCGCTTCACATCCATAGTCGAGATAATATTGTAATTAGAAATTTTTACAATATCTTACAATACTCCAATCGTGTTTGCTGAACGCAACGACTGCATGTTTTAATCCTCGTAACATCACATTATTAATGAATCATGTCCGCACAAGTGGTGTGTGTACAATCCGCAAGAATACATCATGAATCGACATATAGCATATACTAGCGATGCTATTCACGAGTTAAATATCAATTGATTAACTAAATAGAATAATCTTTCTAAGGCATTGTCAGTAATAGCAATAATATAATAAAACGCAATCGACAAGTTGGGTTAGAAGAAAAAAATTCAAGAAATGTAAATTAACTTAATATTTTCATTTTAATACGAAATAATTTATCAAATTTCACTAAATACGCTTGGCATCCAATTCTACCATAACCTATGCCATCGAATAGTGGCAACACATTGTTGCACACGTAGCAAATGTATTAGCTGTAATTCACACATATACATAGATATATATATATATTTTATATGCAACTGATGTAACGATCGTAAAGGCATTACAGGGGCACATATCAACCGCTGCACTACATCGATCTATAAACATATAAAAATATATATATATACATATACATACACAGATGCAGATGCATATACTGTACATATATATATATATATATATATATATATTCATTTATTTAGGCACTTAAATGATAATCTATTTTAAGTTAAAATATACAAATTAATTGTATATATAATCATGTAATACGTAAATAAAAGGCAATAGTTTCATTTTTCATCTACTCATCTATTTATACAGTCAGTGGCTAAGTACCTTATTAAATAAAATTGAATAAATAGCCGTATAATTTACGACAAGTCAAGAGCTGTTTTTCTATAATTAAGTCATTTATGAGAATTGAATGATGTAGTGTATTGAATCAAAATCGGTCTCAAATAAGCAGCCAATAATACCAGAAGAAATTCTATCACGTTTAAAATAATGTCTTTTCCATGATGCCTGTTGATTGCGTGGATTGATTTTAATCTTATCGTAATTATATATATACAGTAACATTTTGCCAGAGTGAAATAATATGCAAGCTATAAGATTGATAACTGTTGTAATGATCCTTTTATGACCCACTTCCATAATTAATAACAACAATTTCTTTTCATTATACAAAAAGTAATTAATGACTGAGGCTAGCTTTTTGTATGCTGCATACCGTAGCCAATACTTCGCATTGATTTGTTGAGATATTAATACATCGGAGCATCTTATTTTATTCCTTAACTTCAACTACTTTCACACTTTTCTTAGTTCATAACATATGTCACAGCAAAGGATTTCTCTACTATTTTAAGATCGAATATTAATGATCTCCAATATACAACGTTGTGAATCTCCCTTTCATTTTTAAGGTTATAAATCTAAACTCAGATTGAAATGATATTTTATAATATTATTGTTGCTGTTGAATTTTATAGATGAAGAAGATAGAATTTGTAAAAGTGGATTTTTTGTTCATATGTATATACACAAACGGATAGCCAATAATCCAGCTCCATCTTCTATAACATCTAGATAATATCTGTCTGGCTATGTGGACGTATATAGTATATATTGCTTGAATTTTTCGAAATAAAAATTTAAAATCTGAAATCATGGCACATCTTTAGAATTTCTTAATTCGTTCAACTCGCGAAAGTACTGTTGTTCGATGTCGCATAACATAGAATATAAAAGAAGCAGAACATAATTAGGGATGCTAGATAATTATTTTCATTATTTTCTGTTTGATAATGATTCATACTACGTTATTGTTGACAATTATTTACAGAACTTAGTTGTTAATAATTAGATATCGTTTTCAATATCGAATATTATATTTACTATCGTGGCTATAAATGAAACATTAATTTGCCGTTATTGTAGATTGTAACAGATGATAATTATCACATGTAACATTTAATCTTGCATACCTTAATGCCTTTTTGTTCTACATTACGCCAGTGATCATAATTCTCTTCGATATTTTTCATTACGTGTGGAATATGGGCAAAAGCTATTTAAAAGTATAAAAAAATTGATTTAGTCAAGTTTTGTAAATCTGTGCATTGAAATTTTTAACTATACTAATACAATATATATTGAAAATCTTCAACAAATAAAAACGAAGAGAAAGCACCGTAAATAATACAAGCACGCAATATTGAAAATTGTAGATACGATTTTATCATATCACAATCACGTATTATAAGGTACTGCTTAGTCATATCTAACTAAGTATTGTATTCATATGAGTAGGGAAAATTTGAATGCAGTCTATTATTAACCTATACAATCTAAACCTCGTTATACAAAGGAAAAATTATAGTACGTGCTGTTGTCAATTACAGAACATAACTATACATCGGGTTAATATTTGTTAAGTAGTTTTGTAATTAAAGACAAAAAAAATAGACTTACAATGCCAAGATTTAAATAGGTCCTTAACGAAGTAGTCATAAAAAGATCGCTGCAAATATATTAAAAGCTGATTATCAAATTTTGTACAAATAGCACTTTTCGTATCAATATCATGTCTTTCAGAGTCCAAAGGTCTCAAGTATGTAAACGACAGAACAGTTGTACATCACCGTTTTTACCTGTGATTGAGGCACATTACATTTTTCTCTGTTAAACATATGCATTGTCAACGGTAAACCTTCCTTATCTTCTTCGTCGTACTATATTTATGATAAGTACATGCATAATTAAGACTCTGTCTAAGCTATTTTTATTTAATAACGGTACTTTACTAATTGACTACATGGTTTATGTTAGGATACTGGAAAGTACTTATTAAATATAACAATACCTGGCACATGTATTCGTCCAATATCCTTAACGCCCATTCTTTACTTAATATCCAGTTTCTTGCAGGATTCGAAATATCAGCACACTTAATCAGTATACGTTTTGCTAGCATTCTATTTTCCGATGAGCTTTCGATAACTTTCAACTCTGTACCATCATCAGCAATCTAGATAATTTTTTAATTCACCCAAATATCGATTAACAAAGTGAAAGAAATCATCTATATACTGTAAAATCCTTCTAACAGTGAAAAATAAATGTCTAAGCTTCATAATTTATGATGTGCAAGAAAGTACTGTTCTATAAGTAAACAGCTTTAATTGTTTTACATCTAAATATTTTCAATTGGTTACTTACAACAGTATTCTTGCTAGCATTTAAACAGTCAGTAAATTTAGATAAGTAAGAAAAATGCTTTGTCATTTCAGTAGCCAAAACCATATCAATTATCGATGAACGAATAGAACGATATTCATCACTAAAATAAAGAAAATAAACAATACCCATAGCAAAGCAACAATTAGTTATAATAAAAAATGGTACTATCAAGAAAATGTCGAAATAATGCTCGCTGTAATTAGAAGATATAGAATTATAACTTCACCTTTCTAGCCCTTTGAAAATATTAACTTTATCATTACTGGTAGTTAATTTGAAAGCCAAAGCAGCATGATGACTTTCAAGTACAGCACTAATGGGTAATTTTTGAAGTAGGAAAAATAGATAAGTACATTAAGTAACACTGTATCACTTAGATTAAGAAATACCTAACAGTCCAATCTATCTTTTAATTTTTAACCGATTCCAGTCATCATAAATATCTCACCTATCATTGTAAAGTAGTGCAAGGGGATTATGAGAATTGCATAAAAATGCACTGGTAACGCCGGGATGATCAACATCGTGCACTATTGCCGCAATTAGAGAGGCCATAATATCCAATGGATCGAGTAAATTCTATATTATATCATAAATTCAAATAATACATAAATATTATTATAATTTTATTTGCAGTAAAAATGAAGGAGCCTTCATTCGAAGACTTTCAATAGTAATAATTTATTTTACCTTCACGCGATCACAATCCAAGAAACAGGCACTAGCATGCAACACATCACCAGCATGCGTCGAGTTATGGTAGCTATTACTTTGTCTATAGTTTGCTTCAATTAACTGAATTCGAAAGAGAGAGAGCAATAATAGTTACGATAAATTTCGAAATTATTATAGAATATTGCTAATAGGATGGATCGATAATTCGATAAATTAGATTAAAGATCTATAATAGATAACCAAAGTCATTGTTTAAAATGTCACTACTTAAAATATATTTATTCTTATAAGTCTACCTTTAACCAGTTGCATAATACATCCGCAGATGCATTGAGATAGTGGCCCATTCGGAAGCGCTCAAATATTTTCATACCAAGGTAGACCAATGGTCTAATAAAATTGGGAAAGAAATAGCAAATGGTTAGCTTTGAATTTCGTAATTATTAACAAATTCAATAACAATTTCTTTTAGTATGCCTATTATTAGATGCAAAAAGACTATGATTGCATTATTATTATTTTTAACACGCTTTTGTACTTGGTATGGATTTAAATTAGAGCTGCAATATTGCAAACGCTAAAATATTGCTATTTATTACGATAAAGTATATATTAAACTTGTAGTATATTTGTATAACAGCCTCCATCGCATGAAATATTTACAGAGTTATCATAATTATAATTTTCCTTCCGAATGAAATATATCTACCTCTTTTCCGTAACACGTTCCAATTCTAGAATGTCATAATCCCAATCAGATGCACCATCCAATGCAATTTTAATTTCTGCTGATGCATCATTAAGTATACTTTTGGCATTAACTACTAAAGATGGTCCTTTTACGTACAATATAAAAATATGAATTAGTTCATAAAATCAACGATCTAATAACGATAGCATCAGATAGGCTGAAGACCCAACTTCCGTAACTATAGCTAAGAACAGCAAGTTACTTACTTGGTAAATTACCTTGTGATGTTATCGTCTAGAAAATATTTTGCAAAACAAGAAATACGCATACCGTCATTTCATACATATAGAAAATAGAAAATTAATTTCACAAGTGTTCGTCACAAATGATAGTCGATAATTTTGCTAAGTGCATTCCTTTTACAATATTTCAACTAACGTTATTGCCAAGTTCAGTAAAATTGATTAAGTCAAAGTCAGCTCCTTGAGGAAAGGAAATCTCAGCATCTTTCAGTATTTGCTGTAATATGGGATAATTAAATGATAAGATTAGATAGGATCCTCTTATAGCTATAAATTCATACTGCTTAAATTTATATTTTCATATTTTTGGCACGTAGTATGGATTAAGAAGGAGAACTCTCATTACAAGTTATTATACACAATTTTGATTCAATTTCATATATATGAAATTAATATAATACAAACATTGATTTCATAATTACTATTAATTTACATCTAGCAAAGTCACGTATTACTGATGAGTACAGTAGAAATTGCTCACCAGAACTTTATCCAGTGATTGTGTAACATTATTTGGGCTCTCACTGACATTTTCTTGTGCAATTTTGATCAAATTAATTACCTATTTGTAACATTTATTCAAGGACATAATATTAGCATTCATGAACTTTCAAATTACCTTTTACTGTACTCCTCAGTAAATATTCAATATCATGAATCGATTTCAGTTTGGTAATAAATTTACAATTTAAAGTATTCGATTGTAGGCATATATATAACGCTACTGCTACTGTTATATCAAACTAAAGCTGAGATTTAAATCCAGTTCAATCCTTTTGATATGTGATAACATGGAGTCCTTTTCATTTTCAATATTGACAAAAGAATTCATTACCATTGATGTCGATGCTTCGACAGTTTTGATATGATTTGGATCTACCACTTTTCCTATATTAATATAATTTACGTATAAGTCACAATAAAATTGTAGTAATACAGAATCAGCTTACTTTATAAACGGAAACGGTACATAATGCCAACTGTAAAGTTAATTAGCGATAAGGGTATTTGATATTTTGAAAGGAATTCTACTAGTTTAAAAGTACTCTTAACAGACAAAAAGAAAAATCTATATTTTTATTTTCTGGAGGTTTGTCACCTTCGTAATCTTTCGTGGAAGTATAGTTATATTATAACAATTTAACTAAAGTCTTAAGACAGTATTGGTACCAAAGTAATAGAATGCAATTACTAAAGAGAAATTTTAATTGGCGGTGATAATAACTTGGATTATAATCATTTAGTCAAGTACGAACAGGCTATTAGCCATATGACTATAGCAGGAGCAGTTGAGATGCAAGGAGAACTAATCATTAGTCTATAATGAGGCCAATGTTTAGAATAAAATTACGGTAAAGCAGGATTGCAACGACTCTGGATACTATATGTGTAAAAAATTAGATAGGCATTTCGATCGAAAAGCGGATATATCGCTAGACTGATAAATAATTCGCATATAGTTGAGAAAGGTCTAATTATAATCTATAATGTCCGATAGAGTAGCCGTATTAATTTCAGTTGTCGAAAATAATACTAATCGTTGGAATTTATTAGCACACTAAACTTAAAGGATCTTAGTAAATCTAGAAAATCACCTCGCAATTTCTTAACAGTATTTTATAAACAAATTGGGTATACAATAACCAAACATTATCAGTGTAGCTACTAATGATAATGTGATAAAATAAGAAATCGCCTCTATATATGTATATCGTAAATTATCCACAATTGAATCAATGTAGGGTAGGGATAAATGGCAATTGGCTTACCATTGGGATAGGATTTTATTGATTCTTCGACATATTTCTTGTATTTAGTCTAGAGATAACAAAAATTGAATATTTCATTGAATAGACAGTTCTACTTCAGCTATATTCTTATATCAACATGTATCTACGATAAAAATTTCTTAGCCTATTTTTCAATCACTACAACGATAATGTAACATTAATCTACGTTTAGATTTTATTTCTATATATTCGACGTTTAAATTAAATTAACAATTATGCATTTTCTTTATTAACCTACAGTATAATAAGACTAATAAATAGAATTTGTTATCCGCTATTATTCAGCTTATAAATAAAACTTTATGATATCAAAGGCTACCTACTTCACAAGTTACAGCTCTGAAGCTAGATTGCTAGTACTATCATATCATTGCATAAAATCATACTATGTGATTTTCTTTTAGCTTTCATATTAAACTATTACGTATTTTTGTTTCATATAAAAATAGTAGAGGTAACAACTTGATTCTGGATATTAATAACTCGAAGCTTTATCGAATTAACTATTACAGTGAAATCATATCATTTGAATAATCTACTACAACTTACCTCCATTTCACTGATGTCTCTTTTAATTGTCACATGATGTGTTAAAAATCTTGAATATTATAGTATTAAATAGGCCACGTTAGAAAATTATAGAGCCAAAGGCAAAGAAAGAAAAGAAAAAAATTAATATATTAAGAAATCTTATAGATTTATCCATAAAGTATCGCAGTTTATTTGACATACAATTGCATTTTAGAGATATTTATGTCTGTATTTTCCTTTGAATACAGTAAATTCCATCCTCAGAGAAATATGCGGTATATTAATTGTCATTCTAATCAAAATCTTCAGTACTGAATTACTGTTTAAGAGGATAGCTATTTTTACAACCTATTGCGATTTGGTCAATATCAATTGGCACTACGTATTTTACTAATCAGAGAAACTGCTGATTTATGAAGATGTGCCTTATGTCTGCAAGCTCTGTCACCAAATACTGTACGCTGGATAGTATTGTGTGTGTGTGGGGGGGGACTTATCAATAGTCTTACAGTTTATCGGTAAAAGTTAAAAATTCCTCATTTCGCAAAGATATACAAGAAACGAATATTCAGTTACAGTAGTTACTACAGTATTGAAAACAAATCGTATATGAACTTACCCTTCATGACCAATAATAGGTATAACACGAACAAATTGTGGATATGTTTCGCCAGATTTTCTCTTGCCAACGTAAGAGCCTTCCCAAGTCCTACCTCTACTAACGTATGACTTGATCGTATTAAACAATTCCTAATAGCCAAGAAAACCATGATCATCATTCAGCTAATTATCATATTCAATGATATATAAGAATTCAACATGTCACAGAAATAATAAAAAGTTGATATAGGCCTTTTATTAAAGTAGCGCCAATATTATCTCGATAATTTTCTATCTACCTATCTATCGAATGTACATTAAATATTTTTATTTACAATAATAACTATTCAAATAGTATTGCGGTTATTATGTTCAATCCCGGTAATAACTTACTGCTACTTTGAACATTAATTTAGCCATCGCTAGTAACGTAGTCATAAAAGGAATGAATTAAGGCATTACTTGTAACAAATACAACAGATATGATAAACAAATTAAAAAAGGTGGCTTCATTTTAATAGTAATATATGAGCTAGAGTAGGAGCGGAGAATGTACATTGGAAGCATTTTTACTATCAATTACACTTAACGAAACTTTACTCAGTGCGCTTACAAGCCAAGTTTAGAATATAAAAATTAAAAAAGGGTTCTAGGCAGTCAATAATTTACGATAGTTTAATGAAACTAATAATACTTTTGTCAAGTATAATACGATGCAAACTTTAATAATAGATGAGTTATGGAAATAAAAAAACAATACAATAGTAAAAAACATTTTAAACATACCGGATCATTTTTGTCACTGGTTGGCAAGACGCTATCTAATTTTCCGATTAATTCCGAACTCCAATAACCGGTTGTTCTTTCAAAAGCTGGATTTACATACTAACAGAGTCAAGAATTTTACAAGAATTAAAATCATAAATATAGCACACAGTACAGTATTCAAAATGCATGCTTATCATTATTAAATATGCGTACGTAAAGCATAGCCGATGACATAAAATAAGTTATTTACATTGAATGCTTGCAATCATTGATTACGTATACTGGTATCGATGGTATAGCAATTTTTTAATAGAGAGTTGAAGTATGGCTCGATAGTCCATGTTTATCGACATAAATTACATCACCGCGTTGACGGTACACAGCTGATATATATAATTAAAGGATTGTGATGATGCATTTTTTATTACTTTCTTAACTTGCATTAGAAAATACTGCATTATCCCTAGGATGCATAAATGATACATGGTAACAAAGTAATGGGGCATGACTAATATATTTTATTTTTGTGCTACTTTCGCTATATTCTAGTACCATCTGCAAGTAAAAAGATATCGTAGCTTTCACTTTACTCAACCGTAGCATGCTGTAATTTCTCCAAGACCTTTTTCACTAACTACGCAAAAATCTTGGTAAACGCTCTAACAGAAGTGATATAAAGGCCAATTTTTACATACTTGAAATTGGGACCGATCTGTAGTAATTTCTACGGAATCGTATGCGTTATGGATAGCAGCAAATAGTGAATCGGCTTCCCTACGAGTACCAAATCAATAGTAATAATTCATTACAAAAATGTTAACAACAGACAAAAGCAATATGGTCAAGAAAGTAACATCAAATGGATTATACATTGACCGACCAACTTCAATACATCACAATACTTTAATAAGTTATGCTAATTTGATATGTAATATTAGGATACACTGTAATTTTTATAAGTTGATTGAATTGAATACTGTATAATAAAGTCCGTTAAAATTTTTTTATTTCTTAAGCTTACCTTATTTTTACTTGCTGCCGAAGATCATTTACTTCCAGCATTATTAACTCATTTAAACATCCACCCACATTAAAATTCTCCACAAATCGCTATATAAAAAAGATGTTAAAATTATATTTCAAGAATCAATGATGTATCGAAAGTAGTAAATCTTGAACTTTATCAGTTTTATCAATCAATCAATCAATCAATCAATTAATCATTTTAAGGAGCATGAAATAAAAATTATCTTGAGGTAATACATAATCAGCCAACAACGAATCATACCCGATTGAATCCCATAGCAAGTAAGGGTGCTATACTAGGCTCTTCTTTATCAGAATTACTATAAAAATGGAACAATAAATAATAGCAAAAATTAGCCAAGATTGAATATATTGACATGGTAGTTGTCCTATGGTACAAATCGGCGTTGGGCTTAACATTGGTGACGGGCTGGAGAACCGCAGTACACTAGGCTTGACATAGCTATAAAAATTTTTTATAACCTAATTGAAACTCGATTTTTATTCTATCGCTTATAAATGATCCTTCGATTACAACTATTCCTGATCGATAACGAATGACAATGAATCTATTCGGAAATGAATAAAATTTGCATGTTAAGCGGCATTCGAGGGCGAATCAAGTTTGTGAGATCTCCTTTCTGAACGATGAAACGATTTAAATGTACACTTTTGTATTAACATATGCTAGAATAATGCATTAAATCAATCGATGGGATTTGGAACTAAAAATATAGAAAAGGATAAAAAAAATAAAATTTAACGTGTATTTTAATATTCGACCATCATCAACAACACTAGAGGAATGAATTCTTTTTTTTTATCTTTAAAATTCTAATGGTTGTAGAGCTCCTATTCTGTAGGACAATCTCTCTACTCATTAACTACAACGTTGAATCTATTTTCAATCAATTTCTATTTGTATCGTAGCTCTATGAATAATATATCAACGCAGTCTTTTTTGATGAAGAGTGAACATTGCTATTTCTATTTTATCATTGCAATCGTTCAATTTATCCCTTCTCTAAATTCAATTCATTCTATTTATTATAGGAGCATGTGTTATTGAATAAATTTTTGGATCATTTTAAAATATTACACTAATAATTACTCTAGTCATAATCATATTAATGTAGGTGAGTAACGGACGATATACCAATGGAAATAAATTTCAAATTGATCGGTTTAATCAAAAAAAACTACTAGCATTAAAATATTATGACCATTGGTCGAATTTTTTTTGTCCATTTTTATCAATTGATGGACTATCTTTTACCAAGATTGTTAATACTAAGTAGTTATGCCCATTTTCATTTTTGAAAAGCCATTGCATCTATTGTTACTGTCGTTTGTTGCATGCAATAAACAACTAACAAAAATGGAAACTAAAAATAATTCAACTTGAAGAATAGCATTGAATTGCCATAGCAACAGCAAAATAAGCACTTGATAAAATTCAATTAGCTAATAATAATAAACAGCCAATTCTATTCTAAATGACCAACAAGGTTATTTTATTGCAACGACTGTATCATAGCCAATTTAGAAATGGATCGTTATATTCTTAGCTGTAAGTAATCAAATAGAAGTTACCTTGGATTAACAACGGCAATCATGGTTGATTGATTGGATAGCGATTTATCTTTCACATTTCTAGAAAGCAATAATAAGAGGACATATTGATGTTGAGTTGGATATAGCAATTTATTAAATTTTGAATATTCAACTGAATAGTAACCATAACTTGGTCGAATGCTAAAGTTATTTATTATGGATGTTATATGAGTGGGATTGAGTTTTTCTGCTATTTGACTATTGAAGAGAATAGAGTCCAATTTAGAAGCATGGCTAACGCTTATTTTATCGCAACAACAACTGCTCAAAGTAGTCTTACTAAAAAGATGTCTGATGTTGATTTTGAATTCAATGACTTGGTCGAATGCTCAAGTTATTTATTATGGATGTTATATGAGTGGATTGAGTTTTTCTGCTATTTGGCTATGAAAGAGAATAGAGTCCAATTTAGGAGCATGGCTAACGCTTATTTTATCGCAACAACAAAGTAGTCTTACTAAAAAGATAACTGATGTTGATTTTGAATTCAACCTAACAAGCTAGCCAATGGAACAGTTAAGAAATACCAATTGTATTTTCCATCTGCTTTTCATGCATGTACTTTTTATTTTCACTCTTCACACGCGCACTATTTTGTATAAACTACCTGCAGTAGACGAACATTCAAACCTGCCATTATAGTTGGTTCCACAGGGATATATATAAATATACACGTATTATTAAATGGCGCTGATAATGAGCTTGCATAACCTACTACAAAGTATCGTATATCAGATATCACTGGAAGAGAATAGCATTATTGCAAATATATTGACTATTGACTAAATCATTAGGATAATATGATGCATTTGGATGATAAGAATACTTGTATTATCTAGTTTTACAACTTTGTTTCCGCTTTTACACCCATTTTTTGGGGGGGGGGGAGGGAGGGGGAATATGATGAAGACTATGATAACTCAACTCGTTGCTACTTTGAGTTAAGCAATGGAAAGCTTGAGTTGTTGATCCATGTTCTTTGCTACTTACTTGCATATCGTTTCACCGTTGAAAGCATCTTTGGAGCGTAAATCGACAAATACAATATGAGGTCTATAATCTTGATAATATTCTATAGCGCTTCTTTCACTATGTACAACGTTTAATTTATAATTTCCTTTCTCGGCGGCTTGTTTCAAAGCATTTAATTGCTTATCATTTTCAGAAAATATCGCTAATATCTAAAATTGGATTAGAGAAAATTGTTTTCCATCAAAAAATAGTGTCATAATCATGTTTAGCGAATAAAGAACAACATGAATAATACATTATAACTTTTACTCGATCACACTAAGTCAATTATGCGTATCCCCCAAATGAGGGTATTTTTCTATCTATCTATCCATCAGTGACGAAAATGGCAATTCAATTGATCTTATGGAACTATCACAAGTTATTCCGTATCACTTAAGCACGATGGGATCAACAATCTATCCTGATCTATCTTGTATTCTTCATGTATTGCCCACAAAAATCATCCGATAGTGTACCCTTGATAAATGGACTAAGTGTTAAACTACTTGGACATTATTAAAATCAATATACTCATTTTTGGGACTCTTTCGTAGTCATCTTTTCTTATGGAAGAATTCAAGTGTATCCACGTATAAAAAAGAAAAGGGTGATTATTTCCCTATTCAAAATTCAATCATTCTCCCTTTCCATGATGACGGCCATAAGTTGATTAGTACACTATCCATATAATTTTGGACTCTTAAACAACTTTATCTCTATAAACAATTTAAAGTATCCATGTATTCCCCCCCCCCCCAAAACAGGGCAATTTTTCCTATTTCAAATCACTCTCGCATTGGAAATGATGATGGACGTGAAATTAGAAGAGATAGAATAAGATGAAGTGAAGTAGTGAAATCATATTCACTCACTACCGGTTAGGATGCGACATGAAGCAATGGATACTACTCGACAATATCCAATAGGTATTCTATCCCCCAAAAGCAGAAGATCAATAAAATTACTATCCTGTTCCGCCATTCAAAAAAAGGATACAAGTAATATGATTTAGGTTAACCCAAAGAAATTGCGTTCTTAGCCCCAAAGTGCATGATATGGTTGTCAGAAGTATTGGGGAGGTTACACTATCGTTGCATTATTCGCCCATGATCATCACCATTCTATACTGTTTTCTCTCTCCCATCATGAATCAATTTGATTGCATAGATTGTTCCTGATTCGTTTTCTAATAGACTTGGCTGGGTTTGATTCTTTCATACAATACCAATTTTAAACTGTCAATGTCCATTTGTGAAAAGATCCATTTCAAGCATACAATCCACTTTCTATTCCATTTTTCAAGCAGTGGAACAAGTTACTGTTGTAGCGAGAAGAGGAGGTAATGGATTCTATTAAGCTGTATTTTTTCCGATTGTTAATGACCAATATTGATGGTGATAATCAGATCAACATGCCATCGTTGATCCAATTGTATAGGACATTGGATTTACTTTGTAGTTGACTATTTTTTCACCATTCAATCAAGAGTACGCTAGACGAGTGCCTATAATCCACTTTCAATTTCACTTTTTCATTGATGAAGACGTAAATCATAACGGATAGGAAGGAAATGCAAAAAAAAGGATTGTATTACGCTCATTTCTCTCTAATAACCAAAAGGAGCGATGAGGATCATCATGATGCTGATGTCCAATTGACATTGCAAGTTTACAATTACAATCCATTGACATTGCCTTGATCATCAATCTATCCTAATTTGTTGGGTTGATATGATGGGTAGGCAAATATTGTGAAAGCTAGGTTAGATAGTTGTGTAGGAACATTATGCTTGGACTGGATATTCTTCTTCTTGCTGGACAGATATGATGATTGCTGTATTACCGTTGTTGTGATCGCTAGGGAGGCACTGTACAAGGCTAACTTATTTCTTGAATAATAATGTGACTTTGTAGGATAGGGGTATGGAGAAAAAAGCCACTCAATGAGTGAATTGATCAAGTCAATGATGAGCTAAAGAGATGATTTTGTTTCAAAGCTACCTCTTTAAGAAATAGAACGACGACAAAATCCATGGTAAAAATAGTGCTAGGCTATGCACGATATTACCCAATGCAATAGTGACATTGTAAGACTGAATGGATGAGCTGAATATACTGTACAACATGATGGAGCTTTCCATCTTGAAATAGTATCAAGAATCTTCCACGTCTCCCAGACTGGTTTTTTTCAGTCTAGTGAAGATGGCGAGATGATAAGGGGAAAGTATGGTCAAGAAATTCAAGTTTACTCCTTCTCCTGGAGCGGTCAAATCCGACGCTTTGCGATCAAGTACAAGATGGAACTTGTATCCAGTCGACAGCCATATGCATTGATGTAGACGATGTTGATTTTTTTGAATGGAGGAGAGACAAGTATTGATCATTGGCTGCTACCTTGGACAGATTGGATTGGTTAAGCAAAGTAGAGTTGATCGGCTTCCTAGCATAAAATGCAATTGAAATCCTCCCCCTTTTTGATTGCCGTGTAAAATCGATTTTGGTGACTCCATTACTCGCCGTTACTACAAGTAGAGTAGGAAAGAAAAAAAAACCACACACAACTTGAACGCCTATCGTCAACGATAGGCGTTGAAGCAAGTACTAGTAAAAGGAAAGTAGTTTGCCTTTGGCATTGGATCAAAAATTTTGGTGACTCCATTACTCGCCGTTACTACAGTAGGAAAGAAAAAAAACCCACACACAAACTTGAATGCCTATCGTTGACGATAGGCGTTGAAGCAAGTACCAGTAAAAGGAAAGTAGTTTGCCTTTGGCATTGGAGAAAAAAAATTAATTTTTCCCCCTAGCCTAAAATTCAACCATCCTTCTTTCTCTCTTCAACACTCGCTATAGCGACAATAGCGCAAGCATAGACAAGACTGGTGGAAAATCATTCCAGCAAAGAGAAAAGATCCCAAAATAAAAGCCATCACTTATGCCCTATCCAAATAATATTTATTGACTCAGATGGCGTAGACTATTGCTTTTAATTGTCTTGATTGCAATCGTAATTGACGACAATAGTTAGGATAACAATAGTTCAACAGTCATGGAAAGGAGGAGAAAAGTTACTAATAACGACTAAAACAAATTCTTCTTGTATTTGCATTCTCTTGTTGCATGGCTTGCAATACAACATCAATCTTGATGTTGTATTTTACTTGTCTATTCTTCAGCTTTGCTATTCAATTTGCAACCTTGTATTGCTGTATACAAGTGGAGCAATGTCATGGAAACAAGCATTTCTATGTAGGCAAAAGATTAGCTATCATTTCATCTTCTTTTCTCTCTCTCTCTTTCTTCAACATTCATCTATTTGTCATCTTTCTTCTTCTTTTTTATTTTCCATTCTCCAACTTGATCCATTTTCTTCCATGCTCAACAAAAATGTCATTTTAACAACAACTCATTTTCTCCTTCTTTCACAAATGATGGAAAAAGATTGGCGTAAAACCCCAATCAAAAATGAATCAATCAAAAAAATCAATAAAAAGAGAGAAAGAGGAGGGGAAAAATGACATAAAATACTCCATTTCATCAAGGCTATGGCTAAAATGGCCATGCTTGCTTCTAATCATCATTCAAGCCCATTTAGTGCGTCTTGTTGATTGATTGCATGTTAGCAAGAAATTGTTTTCGTCTTCACTAAGCTACAACCATTAAACTCTTCCCTTATCCGTTTGACAAATGTTGTCTTGGACCCATTTCTACACTTGCATCTCCCTATTTTCCACCATGATGACAAGTAACTTTTGCTTGTCTTGCCCCCTTTCATGCAGCGATCCAATTCAATAGTCTCTACAAGTAGAACAACATTTCCTGCTATTCCTCCTATTTGCCTACATCACCACAGTCGGTTGATCGACCGCTGTCCTTTCCACCATCATAACGTTCAACTCTCCTTCAAGTTGCTACCTTGACTAGCCAACACTATTTCTTCCCATTCTCCTTGTGCATCTCATCTGCATTTGGAGAAGAAGAAGAAGAGAGTAGCTGGCATGAGAATCCTTTCATTTTGTCAAGTTGAATATGGACTCCCCTTTTCCGGTATTGTCGCTTTCTATGACCAAAATGGCCCATTGGACAATATTCTATCGATCGACTCAAATCTTCATCAATTGCCTTTTCCTGTCTTCTCAAGAAGGCCCGACAAAAGCAATACTAATTTTCAACATGGATTTGAATCATTTCTCTTCAGGCAGGCATTTTCTTCTCCATAGGGGGGGGGGATAGCCATTTTACCTTTCCTCGTTGAAAAACAACGTTAATGAATAAGGAAAAAAGGACAATGTGCCGACTAGAATGCTCGGTTTTTTTTAGCCATTTCTAAACATGGACTAGCAATCATTGGCATATTAATAATTCCATTGGCCTTCATAAATAATAATAACCTTGTTTGAAGTCAATAGCATTCTTCTTCAACTGAGCGGATAGCCTTGGCTGTCAATATGGAGGGCCATTGCTGCTGTCTCCCTCTTTCAACAACCGACGGAGAAAGAGAACGAAGATTGCAACAACGTTGTCTGTTCAACTGGTTCTAACATAGACTGTAGTCTTGTAGTCGATGATAGCTTGCCTATTTTTGACTATCCTGTCATGGCGATAGTTGTACAAGAAAGAAATGAATGGCTTTACCAAACAAGGGGGAGGGAAATTTCCATTACAAAATCAACATGAAGACAACAAGTTGAAATGAATATGGAGAGATTTGCCTATCGTCGTCTCTTTACTCCCTTTCTCCATGCAATGGCTAGCGATACAAGTATTGATCATTCGTCTTTTTCTACTCGTATATTGTAAGAAGGAAATAGAGTCTAACTAATCCTTTTTTTCCATGTCCAATTTGAAATAAAATGTCGATACATCATCACTCATTCTTTTTGCGCCAAATTGTTGCCTTTCAACTTCCATCCTCGACAAGGGATGATTCCCCCCCAATCAACCTAATCCTATTCCATTGCTTTCTTCCACTATGGACATGTTCTAATATCCATTTTGTAATCGATCATGTCCCAGTTTGGCTAATGCCACCACCATCCATGGTGCTCATCGTCATTGAAATTGAAGAATTAATTTGTACAAGGATTGATTTTCACCAGTAGAGTAGGAACTTCATCTGATCAATTTGGAGTTACTCTTCTACATCCAATCCATGTTGGATGCGTTGATCATTGAAAAATGGAGGGCTATTCCTTTTTGCAGTGACACTCGTGGATAGTAGTAAAACAAATAGAAATTGGACAATTCTCCATTCCCCTTGATAGCATCCATTGGCTTCTCATTGACAGTAGGGTTCAATTTACGACTGCAATCATTTCAAGAATATTTTTGGCCATAAAAAAAAAAGAATCATATTGGATCAAGGCTAATGATGTGCTTAATGAAGTAGAATGAGTTGGAAAGGCAAATTGGACACATTTCTATTGCAATTTATAGCATGAATTACTTGTCATACAAGTATGGTATAGTGGCTTAGCAGGAGAAGGAGAACGCATTAGGCATGGCAGGGGGCTAAATTGGGGAAATTGCCCCTAGTGCCATTTCACAGCATGAATGTTCTTTCGACACAAGGAAGTCTTGCGCTGTATTATCATCCAGAAAAGCTGAATAAAGTTGTTGTAGAAACAGTCAACAAGGCCAATGGTGTACTTGCAAGCCATGATGATGATCAAAGTATGGCGTAGTAGTGTCCATCGTTGAATTTATTGCATCATCAACTCGCTGATGTCAAAGGTAGACGCTAAAAATCAATCTCTTTGGCTATTGAGAATGCAATTTGGATAGCGAGCGCTTTGCTTTTATGCCTATCTACGCCATAATATTGCAAATTGAAAATGAAAGCAAGTGTGGTTGCACTTTTACATTCAATTCTTGGAAAGCAAAAACGATTGTCGTCCAACTTGTATTAGAGTCAAATGGATCACTACCTTAGGCAAATGTCCAAATCAATCCTTGTCTGGCTATGCGGCCATCATGGAATACGAATCGACTAACACATTGGGTTTTCATCAATGGCCCAAAAACAAGCATGAAGGATGGTCCAACTCGTATTAGGCTTGAAGTGGAGAAGCACATTCAGCAAATGGAGATCTCTTTTTGCTATGGTATATCGACATTTTCCATTCTAAGACAACACCATCTTGAAATGGCCTACAGCAATGGTATTCTTTTGGTTGGAGAATGGCTAAGCCTACGTCGATCATCGTTTTCTTCCTTGCATCCTCCTATCTCATCCTTGACCCACATGTCCTATCTTACCCAACCTTTTACCCTCTCCTACAGCGGATAGCATTGAAATAGAGGCAAAAAGGAAAAGGATTGCAAGGGACAAATGTCCACCAACCCCATAAGTTGCTGCAATCGATTGCAATGGTTGGTTGGTAGGGCAATCATGCAGCGCTCTTTCTCCATGCAATTTTGTAGACACTATTTGTAAATGGATCGCTTTTGTTGTTTTGAACCTTCCTTCTTTCTTTCTATTCCTTTCTGTTTTATTCAATAAAAGTAAGCATACAGGAATAATTTCATGCCTATAGCAAACAAGACTATAGGCATCCATTTTATTGGGTAGTTGAACCATTTTACTTGAATTGTTTTCATTTTTCTTTGCAAGTAATTGCTTCAACTATTGTCAAGTTGGCTACTCCAAAAATGAAACACATGTAGAACTTTTCTAGGTTTAAGCTTGGATATGTAGATTTTTCTAGGTTTAAGCTTGGACATGTAGACTTTTCTAGGTTTAAGCATGGACATGTAGATTTTTCTAGGTTTGGACATGTAGACTTTTCTAGGTTTAAGCGTGGACATGTAGACTTTTCTAGGTTTAAGCGTGGACATGTAGAACTTTCTAGGTTTAAGCGTGGACATGTAGACTTTTCTAGGTTTAAGCTTGGACATGTAGACTTTTCTAGGTTTAAGCGTGGACATGTAGACTTTTCTAGGTTTAAGCTTGGACATGTAGACCCTGTCTCGGTTGATTTCAACGCTGCTATCCATGCTCAATATTCAGGACTAGCGAGCGGATTGATGCCAACATCAACTCGTATTTGTCGAGCAATCCTTTCCCTTTGGCCGTTGCAACGACATCATAATTCATATTGCACAATGTTGTCAACGTAGACGAAGGCAAAAATCAACACTTGCATTTGATGTTTCAAGTTTTGTAATAGCCAAGTTATGTTGTGGACTTGTAAGCTAGGATCATCACTTTGTTGAAGGGTATCCCAAAATTAGGCGATAGTCTATTCTCTCTCTTCCCCCCTTTTTTAGGCTAGTATCACAGAAAGAATCTCAACCTGAATGAAGTTGAAGGGGAGAGGATTGTCATCAGAATCGCCATTTATTTTCATTCGTTGCTTTTATCGTCATGCAGCGATTAAGAAAGTCATATTTAAAGCAAGACGAAAAGATGGACAACAATGATGAGAAGAGACTATCGGCCATGAAAAAATTACCATCGATGCAATATTCTTGGCGGTCTGCCATTTTGGCAACCCTAATGCCATCATGACGTTAATATTACCAAAAGGGGAAAAAGATCAACTTAGGGCCACGTCGAGTAATGTAAACGACTGGATGGAAAATGAATCCTAGCTATTGCGTCCTTGCCGAGGTAGAATAGACAGTGATTGAAAAATTGGGGGGGAGGAAGGCAATCTATCATCATCATCATCATGTTGTTATTTCAATCAGATAATGGTGATGATAGTCATAATTCGTCATTGAAATGGCCTAAACTATTTAGGAATGGATTGCATTTTATTTTGGCAGCCAACCATCAAGACCCTAGATATACAATATACTATAGGTCAGATATTCAACTCTTAACCACTACCATGAAAGGTAACTTTCTCGTTGAAGTATTGCTTTTCCTTTTTTCCCTTCCCTTTCCTTGGCCCTTTGGAAAAGACGATAGAAAGGGTAGGCAAATTGTTGCAATGGAAAACCTCTTGGTACAGTAGTTCAATCTCATTCCATGGGCCAATTCTATCGGGAATCGGCTAATGCAAGACTCATGGCAAATGAAGAAATGCCTCGCCATAGGATAACTGCAAGCGTTCTTTTTTGCTACCCACCCCCAACTGATTTTTCAAGTTGACCATAATGATGATAGAGGACAATCGGTTACCAACCATATTAATATTTAATTTATTTATCCTTGTGATGGACGACGAAGAAACAGCCTGGCTGGTTTTTTTTTTTTTTTCCTCTTCAAGACAATCAACATGGATCGCCATAACCCAGTGAGACAACATCAATTTAATACTGAAAAAATGGAGGAAAAATAGGGGAACAAGATGGTCCAATGTCCATTTAACCTCCAACTTGGATTTTTTTATTGTCAAGGCAAAAGTTGTCACCATCTCTATGAACAGCAACAACAACAACAAAAAAAATAGAATGACAACAAAAACTTCTCCTCCAAGTCAAAAGATGCAATCAACTCTTGATCGGATTCATCATCAACATCCAGTTAGTCGCGATCATCGCTCAATTCTCCTATCAATATTTTTCATGTCCATCTTTGATGCAATGACGACTATTTGACTTTCTAGACGAGCTACTGTACTTTGCCTTTTTCAATCTAATGTAATATGCTAATCATTCCCTTTTCTTCCATATTTATCCATGCTTGCATGAAAATCGATTGGATCATCCAATCGATCTTCATCCATGTCTCCATTTTGACATCATGATGCCGCCAAGAAACAACTTTATGTTCTAATTTTGATGGGACTAGCGATCGAATGAGTCTCTCCTTACTGTGGCAATAGACGACTCTCTTTTCATCTAGCCAAATGGACTAAAATCCAGCTTAGACTATCAACATCATTCAATGCTCAACCAACAATCTTGAACATGGATCATATTCGTAAAATACAAGAGTGGATGATCAATAGTGTAAAATGAATCAAGATGCAAGCGTTGTTCCGATAGAACAAAGTTTCCCAAAAGGGAAGAAACAAGTCGTATTTAATCATCCATCATTTTTATGCCACTTTCCATGAACGAGAATATCCGCTACCGGTCAACCAATCCCAAATGCAATCATCCTTTCTGGCATAGAAGCTACTCTTTCAGTGTCTTCAAGGTAAAAGGAATAGACTGCTGCTCCACTCATATCAATCTATGGTTGTGAAAACTTCAAGATAGCTTACCATCATGGACATGAAGGTGAACATTTTCTCCTACTTGCATAGCAGCTTACGATATCGACTCAATACCCAAGGCTAATAGACTAGGATAGTCTATTAGTCTATTAGCCTCCGATACAGTAATAAACCTACGAGTAAATCATTTTCTATGCAAGAAATAAATGTCGACCAACTTTTCAAAGTTGGTCGACGAGTTTGTTGAAGAAAAAATAATCAGCGTGTCATTGGACAGTACTCTCAACTCTACTTGTACAGCATGGATAAATGGAAAAAAAATTCATCTTTTCCATTCTGGCTATTGCCGACACTGTAGACTACTGTAATTCATGTTTGAAAATCGATTGCGAAGGCAAACCTAATGAATAAAAACTACTACTGCTAGCAAGCGATCATCTCGGACTGGTGATGAAGAATCAGGATAAATGACTAAAGACCATTCCTACTTTAGTATTGCCCATGCCAATTTTAGGCGTCCAAACCAAGAGTTGCGACAGTAAGGGATTTGATATGGAATTTCAACGTCGTAATATGGTTGGGTAGCAACGGAAAAGGCAGGAAAAAAAAATGGACAGCGCTGTCTTTAATAGGGTCCATGATGAATTTTGAAGGCGGAATGCAATGTGGCAGCAGTCAACTGATGGATTTAGTCGTGACTCTTGCTACTATTTTTTCCAGCTATGAATCAATAGTGTAGAGTAAAATAACCTGCATTCAATCTACCCCATACTGAGATATGTCTATTAAGAATGCGCCATTCGTCTTCTTCTTCAATCCACTACGATCGAGTGTAGTGGGGAAAATGGCCTTTCCATTGCTACGCAATCTATTTTACAACGGATTGAAAGTAGGTAAAATGGACAAGAGAGTGGCTCATCTCTGTGTAGCGCAAAAGCCACCCAGATATCAGCCTTTTCTATCATGGAATCCCAGCCAAATACCATTGGAAATAGGCTAATTGACGGATAATATCCTACTACAGGTATTGCCAAAATGGATAGCGCGGAGACAACAAGGTTAAATAAAACGAGAGAAAAGGTCTGACAATTGTCCTCCCACTAAATAAAATGACGTACGAAATGAAAGACACTGTGTGTCCAATACTATACAACATTGGTGATTTGGAGGAAGAAAAAGAGAAAAAAAAATATAGCCATGTGCAAATGGACCCAAATTGTCATCATGGGTTATGTGTTTTTTTTATCCTCCTTCGCCGACGGTAAGATCAACAACAGTTTGATGCAAACTTGGAGCCGTCTAGACTTGAAGGGAGTGGAAATGGTTGTTTATCCACAAGAAATGGATCCTTTGCTATGCAAGAAAGAGATCGAGTCTACTGTTACGCTACAATTTTTCTCGTCCTTTTTACTTGACAACGTCAAAAAATGAGATGGAAAGGGTGTAATCATTCCGTCAAGATACATGGCAACAGACTGCCATATCCCAGTTGAAAAAGCGCTTACTTACTCTTGTGTCTAGTATTCAAGTATGGCCGACATGACTGTAGTAATGATGCTATCCATTTCAGGATCAACAACTAACTTTGTCGTCCAAAGTGTAATGAAACCAATCATGAGATTAAATTGGAAATTATTTTCAATCGTCTGCATACATTGGACATCTTGTTGGTTGTCCCACTCTGCGTGTTAGTCGACGTCATAATCAATCATGGATGCAATAAAATTCAAACTTTAAATACTATTTTACCAACCTCTACCTCTATATAGAAAAGTAGTGTACTCAAAATCATTTCAGGCGGAAAAAAAAATGTCTTGGTATTGAAAGAAAAATGCAGATGAAAAGGATTTGGGGCAAGATAAAAGGTTGGTAAAAGAAATACAAAAATACTGTGTCTCATTTGAGTGCGGGGAAAATTTTCAAGTCTGGACTTACCTTCATTTGCGGTTGGATAACTTTCATTGGACCAAAGCAGACTGTCACTCCAAGTTCCCGAGAATATTTACGAATCTAATAAAAATGTAGTTACAGTACATCAAGATCAGATATTGAACAAGAAAAAATAGAGGGGGGGGGGGGGGAAAAGTCATTTTTTTTTAGAGACGGGGGGGAATCTGTAACATATAGAGTAGAAAAAAAAAAAAGAGACAATCAACGGTAGCAAGAGTAGGAAAAATGGGTAGAAAAGAATGGTTTGAAGGGTAACAACGATGAATATAAAATGGGTTGATTAGCCGTTGGTTGTTAGCAAGAAGAAAAAAAGCTTTTCATGACGACCAAGGTGATGGTTGCATGAAGGAGGAATAGGGTTAGGGTGCCATGATGATCGCGATGATTCTTCTCGTTGTGATGGTCAAAATAAGAAAGCAAACATTGATGAGTAAAAATAGAGAAATATCCTTTTTTTTCAATCATGTTGTTACTAGACAACATTTATTTCAATTGGGTACTACAACTAGGACTACGGTAGTACTACTACTCTTGTACAATCAAGTTGATACTTGCTGGTTGATTGACTATCAAGAAAGAGAAAAGAGAATGTTGGTGAAAAACGATGGAAAAAGGCCATGCCAGAATGGATGCATTGGATAGAGAGCGAAAGTAGAGTAGAATAAAAAGGAGGAGGAAGAAAAAAAAAAAAATGGCCATGATGATTGCATAACAAAAGAGAAAATTTATCCCGTTACTGTAGTCTTGATTCATGAATTACTTGGGGGTTTTTTTTTTTTCTATCCTATTCTTCAACGACATGATGGAAAGATTTGAACCATGTTGATCGAGGACGTAACTAAGCCATGGGGTATGGGGAAAGAAAGAATCAAGTGGATCTTGTCGCGTAACAAGATTGAATGTTAAAGTAAAAAGGATAAGAAAGTGATTGAATGACGACTAATTGGTTGGGGAAAATGGAGAAGAAATGAAAGCGATATGGGTCCAAATGAGGAGTGGATTGAGTTGAAAAGATTGATTGCTATCCTTGAATAGTGCAATTAAAATGGAGTGAAAATTTTTTGTTGTTGGCAACATGTGACTTTACCTTGACTTCGCCGTTAGTACTGTTTCCATTGGATTGGATTCGTGATGAATTGCCGTTGGCACTATCTGTTTCTGAGTTTGGTGGATGATTCATATTTTGTCCGTTGGGTATCGTTTCAGAAGCAGGATCTGGTGTAGCTTGGCTAGGAGAGCACCCCATTAGCTCTCCACGATCATAAAAAAGAAGATTTGAAAGTGTGACTCTTTCTTGTCAGCAATCCCCAAGTAACCTAGGCCCCAAAATGACTTGGATAAAAGAGAGAGAGAGAGAGAGAGGCAGTCAGGTTCGACAGAGCCCCCTACAATTTTATTGGTCTTGTTGAATCAATCGATTGAAAATGGCCAATCTATCGGCTGCATAGAGATCGATCACGAGGTGATGAGAGAGAGAGAGAGGAATGGATAAGTTGATGATGGTGTTGTGATCGATCCACGACGACCAAATTCTTTCTTTTTTTCCAATATTGGAGAATAATGATTGCAATGCAGCAGATTAATGTTGTTGTGGCTGGATAGAGAGGGGAGGGGGGGGAAATGGAAGTAATTTTCCTTGCACAGCGGCGGCGTCGTCTCTCTCTCGCTCGTCTAGCAAACAAGGCAAGGGGACAAGAAAAGGAAAGAAAAAACAATCAATCACCAAGACACAAAGCGACAAGTCTTGATCATGCACCACTTGCAACAAGACAAGGCGTTGGAAAAAAAGAAAAAAAAACCCCAAAAACAATTTCGCAATTTCTCTTGCCCTAGCCAATACGCTGGTGATGGCCACCAATCTAAAAGTAATAGTCCATCATAACTGATATTGCTAGCGCAGTAGGCTAAAGTATACACACAAGTTGTCGATGGCAGCAATCCACTTGGATAGTCTCTTTTTCCACTCGTTTACAGCAGACTTTATAAAATGAAACCTAGCGATGATGATGATGATGATAGTAGACAACAACAACAACAAGACACACACAAAAAAAAATGCCTACTGCCTCTTCTCACTATGGGAACCGATGAAAAGGGCGTGGATCCATTTGCAGTGCTATTGTTTTACTGAAGGCCTAACATCATCCAGCCAATCAAAGACAAGCAATGGAATGACGACAAGAATTGCTTGTCGTCTGATTGGTTGGCACTATTGAAGCAACGTGGATGATTGGCTAATTTATTGTAACGACGTCATGGAAATGGCTGGTATCTAAAGCCAGTCCATGTCAACAATCAACCTGAGCAAGATGTATTGTTG